GTCAAGGAGCCAATGGGAGAGCTCCACTCAGAGGCAGGCCATGCAGGCTTGGTGATCTTAATGACCAATCAATGCTTTGCTACCATGTGCCTCTGGCCTGGGGGTAGCAGTCATGCCCCAAGCGCCCATCAGCTGATATGAATTCTCTGGGCCCCAGAACCTGCAGGCCAGCTCCCCACCGCCCCTCCCCCAGCCCCAATCACAGACTGTATTCCCATCCCCCAAACTGAATGCTCATCAGTGTCCCAGGAACAGTGGAGGTGGGGGTGGGGGTGGGGGGAAAGCAGCCCAGCAGTGAGTGTCCAGCTGCCAAAAGGGACAGTGTCACATATGGTGTATAACATGTGTACACTGATATATGTGATAGACAATTTGCTCCAGGAAAGTTAGAATGAACTTGTGACTTTAAATGAGCATCATTATTCCACAATACTGTGAAATTGGGGAAATTATGTAATCACTTAATCACAATTAAAAAAAAAAGAACCTCGGGGTAGGGAGGGAGGGAAAGGATGGTAGGGGGAAAACAATGGAGGGGGTAACAATGCTCAATAGGAAGTGTACTCATTACCTTACTCATGTAACTGTAACCAACCCTCTGTATAGTATCTTTACAATAAAAAATATATATAAAAAAAGAATAAATATGAAGCATGAAATGTGAAAAAAAAAAGGGACAGTGTCCAGAGGACGAAGGGTTTATGGGCTTACAGCCAAGAAGAGGACCCCATGGGTTGCAAAACCCTTGAAAGACTGTACAGATTGACTATCCCTACACAAGGTGCCTGGGATCAAAAATGTGACAGATTTGGGGTTGCTTCTTTCTTCTTTAAATTTCTGAATATTTGCCAGGTGCCGGTAGCTCATGCCTGTAATCCTAGCTACTCAGGAAGCTGAGATCTGAGGATCAAAGTTCAAAGCCAGCCTGGAAAGAAAAGTCTATGAGACTCATATCTCCAGTTAACCACCAGAAAATTGGAAGCCTCGCGAGTGAAAAGAGCTCAGGGACAGCGCCCAGGCCCTGAGTTCAAGCCCCATGACCAACATTAAAAAAAAAAAGAGTATTTGCATACATAATTAGATATCATGGAAGTGGACCAGAAATCTAAAATACAATTTACCTTCATATACAACTAATACATTGAGCCTGAAGGTCTTGGTATAAGTTTATCATTTCCTGTAATTGTGTGTACTGAGTCATCAGAAAAAGTTGTCATTCTGCCAATTATTCACATGGAAATCTGTGGGTATTTGGTACAGCACCATTCCCAATGCTAAATGTATATGGTACTGATAAGCAATTTCATCTTGTATTTATTTTCTTTATTTTTTTTTGAGGTAGAATCTCATTAAGTAGCCCAGGTTGGACTCAAATCTCAAATTGAAACTTGCCTGCCTCAGCCTCCTGGGTGTTGGGATTACAGGCATGGGCCACCACACTATCAACAATCTCCCTCCCTCCCTCTCTCTCTCTCTCTGAACTTGGGGCCTCACACTTGCAGTCAGATGCTCTACCCCTTGAACTATGCCCCATTCCCTAAGCATGCTTATCTTCTGATACACTTGCTCACACACAAGCACACAAGTACTTAGCTGTAGAAATCATGAAGTACCATTAATGCAGTGTAACTAGGCAGCACAGAAGTATTGCCAGGAAGGACACTTGCATCACTGTGACCTGCAACAGCAGCATCAGATATAGGCAGATTTCAATCTGGGCCTCACTGCTTTCCGTCCATCCTATCTTTTCACCAGAGCCCTGAGTTCAAGCCCCAGTTCAAGAAAACAGGAAAAGAAAAGATTTTTCCTGTTTTGCTGCTCACTGGCCCCAGGACACCCTGGTCATATGGTTGAATGAACAAGATCACACTTGGGGGGGGGGGGAAAGCACGGGAAGCACATGGAAGGAGCATTATAAAACACTGAAACAACCAACCACCAGCTAAACGCTCATGGCTACCTAGAACCGGGAACACCCAAGGACTCCAGGTCTTCACGCCTGGTTGCAGGCTTTTTTTTTTTTAACTTCTCCTCTCTCTCCCTCCTCCTTTTTGTACTAGGTCTTGAACTCAGGGCCTGAGTACTGTCCCTGAGCGTCTTTGCGCAGTGGTATTCTACCACTTGAGCCACAGCTCCATTTATGGCGTTTTGCTGGTAACTTGGAGACAAGAGTCTCACAAAGCCCTGGCTGGCTGCGGACTCAGCCTCCTGGAGAGCTGAGGGTGACAGGGGTGAGCCACCAGCGGCCCCCACCCCCCTGCAGACACAGCCTTGAACTGATCGGACAGCTCCCAGAGGCTGGGTGTGCTGCTGCTGCACGTCACACTTCAGCCACCCCCCCGCTGTTGGCTCTGCTTCCTGGGTAAGGAAACGGAGACCTGAAGTTACAAAGCTGGTGACTGTACCCCCGGGTTTTTCTAACCCAACCCTCTTCTCCCCGCGCAGACAAAGGTAAGCAGAGTGGCTGTGCGTGGCCGGGGGCCGGGGCTGGGATGGATGAGGCGGGGGGCGCTCCGCACTGGCCAGGGCCCCCGGGGGAGATACAATTCCGGGCTTTGGTGGCCCAGGAACCTCTTAGGAGAGAATCCTCGGCCCGGAGGTGACAGCGGCACCTTCGCCGCCCCGGCTGGTGCCAGGGCGCCGGGCTCCAGTGCCAGCTCCGCCTCCAGCTCCCGCGGATCACGCTTTTCTGGCCCAGCTCAGGTGCGGACCAATCAGAGCTCAGGGGCGCCTAGAGCCCGCGCTCGCCTAGCCGCGTCTCTATTGCCCCCTGGTGGACAAATCGGTGACGACGCCTCTGTCGGATCCCAGGAGAGGACGCCAGCGATGGCCCCTGAGATGCTGACCCGTGGCCCTGGACGCGTGAATGGAGTGCCCACAGGCCTCCTTTCCAGGCCCTAAAGAGAGGGGAAGGGTCCCGAGAAGGACATGGGTGGGCCAGGTAGATTTGCAGCCACTTCCCTGCCTCTTAGAAGGGATTCATGGAAAGAGCCCAGGAGGCTGGGTGCAGCCCAGCATGCTCCAAGTCCTGAGTTCTATCACCAGCATGACTAAAAGACTTCATTTTTCAAAAATTGACTAAACGGTGTGAGCTTAGGCCTTCCCCTGCCCTTTCACTGGGCCTCTATTTCCCCATCTGTAGAAGATGGAGGTCAGATGGCCTCAGGACTCCTCTATTCAGGAATCTAAGTGGAAGCAGGAAAAAAAAAAAGTCCATGCGACTCTGCTATCTAATTAATCACCAAAAGCCAGAAGTGGAGCTGTGGCTTAAATGGTAGAACATCAGTCTTGAGCAGAAAAAGCTAAAGGTGAGCACCAGGCCCTGAGTTGAAGCCCCAGTACCAGCGCACACACACACACACACACACACACACACACGGCTGGGATTGTGGCTTGGTGGTAGAGTGCTTGCCTAGCATGCATGAAGCCTTGGGTTCAATTCCTCAGTACCACATAAATAACAACAACAAAAGCCAGAAGTGATGCTATGGCTCAAGCACTAGCCTTGCTAGCCTTGTGCAAAAGAACCTCAGGGATAGTGCCCAGGCCCTGAGTTCAAGCCCCACGACTGGCAAAAAACGAAGTCCTTGCCCTTGAGAAAAACAAAAACTGACAACCTAGTTCAGGTAGTCCACAAATATTTACAGCCTAGTCTGATCAAGTCCCAGCAGGATGTGTATACATCAGCCATGCTGGCAGGTGCGGTATCAGGACGATGAGCAGGTTTTAAGGAATGAAGGAACTAATAGGTACTGTATTCTTTGTTGTTGTTGGTGGTGGTGGTGGTGGTGGTGGTTGTGGGGCCTGAACTCTGAGCCTGGCACTGTCCCTCAGTTCTTCAGCTCAAGGCTAGCATTCTACCACTGGAGCCACAGCACCACTTCTGGCTTTTTCTGCTCATGTGGTGCTATAGAATTGAACCTAGGGCCTCATGCATGCAAGGCAAGCACTCTACCACTGAGCCACCTTCCCAGCCCCAGGTACTGAATTCTTTTACAAATAAAAGTGCCTGTAGATCCTAGTGAAAGTCCTACCTCCTGGTGGGAAAGCAGATAAGCAAACTGTGGTAGGGATAGTAAAACCTAAGGAACAGTAGGACTGCTCCTCCTCGTACCTAGTGTGAATACAGGAAACTAATGACTGTAATGAATCAGCTGAGGCAAGGGTCAGGCATGTCTGTTGAGCACTTGGTAATAAAAAGTCCTTAAATCTGCATATAAATCAATTTGAAGAGTCTGATTGGCCTGTTTGAATCAGGTAGGTATTCCTGGACCAATGGGTTATAGTCATGATGCTGAAGTGGGACCACATTTAGGGGGCGGGTATGTCCTGAGGAAGGAGGGTGGGGCCTGGCTGAGTCAGCTTAGGAAGGTCTGTGATTTTAATCTAGGTCATAAGTGAGTTTCCTTCCTTCCAGTCATGAGAAAGTCTTCTGCACCAGGTAACAGGCCACTATGTGGATTGTCCAATATTTGACTGTTGAACAGAAAAATACCAACTCTGCTTTAAGGAAAGTTTATTTTCTCAGGCAAATTGAGTTACTACAGTTAACCTGAATGTCAGGGCAGATAAAATGTGAAAGTATCCATCCTGGCCACCCAGGGGACCATGTGAAGGCAGGCACATACAAGAGAAAAATTATTATAAGGTTTATTAGAGAGGCCATATCCCTTCACCCCCTTGTCTCCACCCCCACCCCCACACTCCCACCCCCACCCAGGGAGCAATGTGGCATCTGCCCCATCCAGGTGGTAGCTCTGGGGCTAGTGGCGGGTACTCTGCATGGGCAGGTAGGTCTGGGCGGAGAGTGGGAGCTCTAGGCAGGGAGTTGCTCAGGTCTGGGTGAAGCTGAGGACCTGAGGTGAGGAGAATGCTAACAATATATACTTCCATAGTCACAGAGATGAAGTCATGAATCTATGTCTTTATAAAATATATAGGTGGAATCTCCAGGTAGGCAGGATACAGCAAACAAAAAAGTCATAAATCAACATACTTACCAGTGGCAAAGGAAAGAACATCAAATCTCTCTTCCTCAAAGATAGAATCTGGCAGACTTCTGCCCAGGCTAGTTTGAAACTGCAATCCTCCAGATCTCAGCCTTCAGAGTAGCTAGGATGACAGAGGTATGAGCCATGTGGCACCTGGCTGCAATCTTTAATATGGAATATAGCTTCTTCATAGAACTTCTTCACCTTTAGCTTTTCACACAATTCGTGTGTCCCCCCGCCTCCCTCCTTTCCCCCCATGTACCTTCAGTCACATCACTTGCCTTTTCCTGGAAACTATTGTTCTCTCTTCACTTTCCTCTTACTGGAACTTCCCTCTCCCATTACTCTCCGGAGGCAGGGGGTGGGGGTGGCAGGGCAGATACTGGGGCTTGAACTCAGGACCCTGTAGTCTCAATTGGCTTTTTCACTAAACACCAGCATTCAATCATTTGAGCCATACCCCCACTTTTGGCTTTTTGGAGGTTAATTAGAAATAAGAGTTTCATGGACTTTCCTGCCCAGGCGGGCTTCAAACTGAGATCCTTAGATCTCATCCACCCGAATAGCTAGGGGTACAGCCCCCTTTATTCTTCTCTCACCCCGTTTTATAAACAATAGCCTGGGGAAGGTGTTTGGGCCAAGGGAGTCCAGCAGGGGGCAGCTCAGAAGGACCAAACTGTGATGCTTCTCCTTTCCAAGAGGGAGCACACTGTCTGTGACTGCTGGCACCCCTTCCAAGGTGCAACTCAACTCTGGAAACAAGACTCACATGTAATGAGATAAAGGATAAGCAATCAATCCCCAGTTTCCAGATGAGCAGACCAGGGTCCTGAAAAGAGTGGTGGTGGATGATAGCCTAGAGTTTCACAGCAGCCTGAGTTCTACTTCAATTGCCCCGACCCCCAACCAGTGGCCTCAGCTCTGTTCGCCTGCTGCCCCAGGTCCTGGGAGGACTGCTCTTGGAACCTGCTGGATCCTGAGGCATCAGTTCTTAGACCACTCATGCTTGAACCAATACCCTCCCCCCTCTCCCTAATCAATCTTCCTGTCTGTTCCCAGGACCTCTATGCATCCATGCAACCAAACTGTGGGTAGGAGGAAAGGGGTTTAAAGGCACAGTTCTGAATCCTGGTGGCCCTAATCTAATGTCCACTCCATCAGCTCTACTTGGAGACTCCAACACCACTGTTCCCACTGTGTCCTAGACTGCTCACTAAGCCCCTGGGTGTGTTACCTCACTGTACCCTCAAATGAGGCACATAAAGCACAGCTGAGGGTATAAGTAAGTGAGCTGCCTGCTCCGCTGGTAAATGGTAAGGCAGGACTGACTTCAACTCAGTAAATGTGATGTCAGGCAAAGACTTTGAACCACTGTGTCTGAGCCTCCAGTCCTGTGACATCCACACTCTCCTTTTTTTCTTTTTTGGCGGTCATGGGGCTTGAACTCTGGGCCTGGGCACTGTTCCTAAGCTCTTCAGCTCAAGGCGAGGGCTCTACCACTTGCGCCACAGCGCCACTTCTGGTTTTCTAGTGGTTTATTGGAGATAAGAGCCTCACAGACTTTCCTGCCCGGGCTGGCTTTGAACCATGATCCTCAGATTTCAGCCTCGTGAGTAGCAAGGATTACAGGTGTGAGCCACCAGCACCCGGCTCTCCTTTTTTTCTAAAAAGCTGCATAGAATAATGGCTGTCACCCCCCAACCTCTCTTGTGGCTAGATGAAAATATGTGGCTACTTCATTGTCAAGAGAGATGTACTTGGCTGCCAGCCTTTAGCTAGAAGGGGTATGTCCCCTTCTCTCCAGCTCATGTGGGTGTGAAAGTGGACCACACAATTCACATGGCTGCCACAGCAGATCGTGGAGCTTCTCTTGCTTGCCTTTGGCAGAAAGGCCAGACTTCCATAATGGGAAGATCTGTTCCGGTCTAGCTCTAAACAATCTGGTCTTATATTCTACCCTCACCCCAGGCCAGTCATCAGAAAAAGTTCATCCTAGTCTTTCTTTCTCTGCATTCCTAATTTCTCTCTCCATTTCCAGAAGACACCTATGTATCCTTGAAGACCTAAACCAAAGAGTACCTCCTGTGTGGAGCTGCTCCTGACCATCTCAGCAGAGTGAGTGCCTTTTTCCTCTGCTTCCATGTCATACCTACAGTTCTCTAGAGCCTCTGCCTCTCAGTTTTGTTGCCATATGAAGATGGAGTCATCTTTCTAATCTTCCTGGGGGCGGGGACCAAGTCTAGGCCATCTGTTGGTTATTGTACCCAGTGTGAGGCCAAGCATCAAGCCAGAGGAGAGTCAAGTTCAGCAAGGAGAGCCTGAGCAAGCGAGTGAGTAGGTAAATGAGAGAGAGAGAGAGAATGTGTATATGTACATGAATGAGCTGGCTTGGCTGAAGGCCCAGGCCAAGTAGACAGTGAGAATATCCAGAAATAATCCCAAATCAGGCCTAATGCCCACATGAAGGGGTACAGGGTGAGGGCGAGACTCAGCCATGGGTGGGTAGAGACTGGTTCAGGCAGGCTGTGGCCCTGTTGCCTGGATCACCAGCCCTCTGGGTGTGTTAGCCAAAGTAGATGGACTTTGGCTAACTGCTGACACTCAGACTTCAGTGACCCTCAGTGACCAGTGAGTATTTTAGGCTAGGGCTGAGCATCACCTGCTCCCTTGGCCTCACTTGTAGGGCAAAGGGGAACCTGCCAGCCTGATGAAGGGCCAACTCTAAGACAGGACACCGGAAAAAATTGTCCTCTCTCTGCTCGGTCACCCTCTTCCCCACTTGGAAATTACTTTTTTGAGCCATGGATCATCAGTGCTTGAAGGATGAAGAGATTGGAAGCTTGACTCTCCCTCTCCCCCCATGGAGCTGGGACCCTGAAGGGAAGAGCAAGGTCCAAGGTCACAATGTAGGAAGAAGTGCAGGAGATAGACATTACAGGAAAAGGGCAGAATAGCAGTGAAGAGTTGGTCTGTTGAGTTCAGGTCCTGGCTTTCCTCTGAAATCTGGGAGAGGACTCACACACAATTCCTGCATTATTACCAGGATGGAGATGAAAGACAACCACCACTGAGTCTAGCACTGGCACAAGACAAGGGATCCGTAGATTTTAGCTAGCACAATGACACAATCTCTCCAGGGGCTCCAGTCCTTCTAGAGGTGGACTTTTTCTGCTCACCTAGTGTCCTTGTTTACTATGGAGTCCACACATGCTGTTCCCCTAGACCTCCAGGCAAGCCCCTGACAATCTCAGGTCCTCAGAAAAGCGGGAGCCAGGCTATGGCCTTGGCTCTCTACCTGCTTCCTGGAACTTGCCTGGCCCTGGATTCCCAAGGCCAACATCCACCCTCTGCCAGCTCTCCTCATTCCAGAACATACAGTGGTCACATTTCCTCACCAACTAGGTTCATCAAGCCTCCTGGAACTTCCTGAATCTTTCTAGAATCTTGGGCAGACTGTTCCTGAACAGAGTGCACTCTGAGGTATGACCACTGTGCCATTAAGGCCAGGAGAAGGGACAGAAAATTAGGGGATAGAGGCCAGGCCATAGGGAGGGTAGATACCAATCTGGAAAGCAGACTACCCAATCTAATTAGAGATTATTTTAGATTTTGGCAGGGTAACTTCTTCATTTAAGGAGGAAACTGTAGTTTGAAGGGGGATGGGAGGAGGAAGCAGAGTCAACCCCAAGGCAGGGACTTTGTTTCATTACTTCGTAGGAATAGCCCTGTCTTCAAAGAAAGTTGTCTTTGAGATCCAGGCTACCAGGAACAGCCAGAAGGGTGAGTCTTGTCTGGAGAACTCAGTTCCTTCTACATCCACCCATGGGTGCTGCAGGGAGAAAAGAGGACAGGAAGAAAGTTGAGAAGGAACAGAATTTTCAAGCAAAGAGAACACTGGAGTGAACCAGTGGCTCTCTTTGCTCTGGAGAAACTAATGTTAAGCAACTACCCAAACACTTGCCAGGCACCATGCACAGAAGAGGGCAACACAGGCCTGTTCAACCCTAGAGAGCCTCCGAGAGACTCAGAGGTCAGTAGATTACATCAGAGCAGGGTCTGGGCCATGATGGGGGATACTGGGCTGCCCAGAGACTGGACAGTGAAGCTGAAAACTTCATAGTATTAACTAAAAGATGGTAGGGGCCAGGCACCGGTGGTTCAGGCTTGTAATCCTAGCTACTCAGGAGGCTGAGATCTGAGGATCTCAGTTCAAAGCTAGCTCAGGCAGATACATCTGTAAGACTCTTAATTCCAGCTAACCAGCAAAAAAACCAGAAGTAGAAGAGTTGTTCAATTGATGGACCAAAGAAAGCTAAATGAAAGCACAAGGCCTTGAGTTCAAGCCCCAGTACTGGTACTAAATAAATAAAAAACAAAGGAATAAACAAAGAAAGAAATAAAAGATAGTAGGGGCTAGGCAGAAAGAGCATTGGAGGCAAGCAGCGGAAGATGAGCCTGGTGGCCTGGCAAAAGGGAAGTGGGTGCAGGAGAGGCAGCAGGTGCTAGGGCACTGGGCCATGACATGAAACAGAACTTGTGCAAGAGAGACACAGCCAGGGAAAGAGGCTGGAAGCGAGATGACCTTTGCCCTGCATTCCCACCCATGTACACTGTCTCAGACTCTTGAGTCCTTGGGAGGCCAGCTAAGTACAGATCCTGATGGGTTAGTTTGTTTGTTTGGATAAACAGACCTAAAGAGATCATGATGCACCAGAGATCACTGGCTGGTATATAAGTAAGAGAGGCAGAACTAGAACTCAAGTCCAGAGCCCTTAAAGTTAGTGGAGCTAGTTCACTTACTCCTGACTCATTCATTTGAGATACTGAACTCTCTACCACCTTCCAGGCTTGATTCTCAGAGCAGGATTTTTGGTAATAGATTAGATCAATGAAACAGAGGAGAGCAGGCCAAGGAGTTTGGGCTCCCTTCTGTTAGTCACCGAGAGAGAAGGGTTGGTTTCTGGGAAGGAAGAGGACCCTTCTCCCTGGCTGCCACTGTTCCCGGGGCAGGGAAGGGCACTGCTCTCTTTCTGGGAGAGCGGTGGCCATACGCAGCAGTTTCCCAGAAGTAAATTAGTGTTGAGTACACCTGTACCGATTGCCCCCATTTGTCCTCTCGGACCCACAGTCTCCCAAACTCTTGGGAAACAGGGAAGCAGGTTTCTTACCACAGAAGGAACACTCTCCTGTGGCGGCAGTTCCCTTGTGCTGTGCTGTGCTGTGCTCTCCTGTCTCCTTTGGGTTACTACTGAGCCAAGCACAGTGCCTGGCCATAGGAGATGACCATTATAGTAGGCTGGACAGACTATTCTTTTTGTGTGTGTGTGTGAGGGGGAGGGGCCTTGAATTGAGGGCCTAGCCACTATCCTTAAGCTGTTATGCTCAAGGCTGGTGCCCTACCCCATGAGCCAGAGCTCTACTTCCAGTTTTTTGTTTTTGCTGATCCTGGGGCTTCAACCCAGGGCCTGGGCTCTGTTCCCAAGCCTCTCTGTGCTCAAGACTAGTGCTCTACCACTTGAGTCATAGCACCACTTCTGGCTTTTTCTGAGTACTTTATTGAAAGTCTCATAGACTTTCCTCCTCTGGCTGGTTTTGAACTATAGTCCTCAAATCTCAGCCTCCTGAGTAGTTAGGATTATAGGCATGAGCCACCAGCTCCCTGCTGGACCAGTTGTTGAAAGAGGAATAAGGAAGAGAAGATGACACTTACCTGTAATATCTGAAAGCAGCTCCAGGGCCTCAGGAGAAGCTGGCCACAGATCCTTTCTTATTGACTCAGGGTTTCACAGTGACTTGGTCATTAGACTGTCCTGGAAAGGAAGCCTGGAAGGGAGAAAGAGGAGGGAATTACCACTCACTAAATATTAGCTTATGTCAGCCTTACCAGTTCTTCTCTTTTTCATTGATGCTGGGGATTGAACCCAGGACCTCATACATACTACCCAAGAGCTCATAACCCAACCCCATTTATTCTCTCCTGTAATCCTTAAGACAACCCTGAGAACCCTGTAATCCACTGAAGGGAAAGATGACTCAGAGGTCATAGCTAGTAAGTGTCAGGCCTGGGATGTAGAGTCAGGCCTCTTTCCCAACCGAACATGCTATGCACCAGGGGAGTGGTTCAGAAGCTGGGGAAGAAGGATTACCTAAGACCTGCTGAGTCCATGGCCCCACTACCAATACTGGAGAAGAGAAAAACTCCCCGATGTAGGTATTAGGAATGTGATGAGGAGTATTATGGATGGTGGGGAGAGGGGTAAAATGAGGTCTCTGTGTTCCTAGATCAGAAAAGCCCCACTCAGCTGCTTTGGCCTCTGCCTCTAGGCTCTCTCCCATGCTAGAAGCACATTTCTGATGGAGGCATCCAGATGGCAGGGAGGGCCCAGGAAACAGCTGAACATGCTGAGCAGACCTCCTTCTGCTCCCCTCTCCATGGCCCCATGCATCATCCGGTGGAGCTGCCCCATCTCATTGGCTCCCTCCTAGTTACTCATCTCTCTTCTTCTCCATCTTCCCAGCCCACGGTTTCCATGGAAACAGAGCCGTGACATCCCCAAAGGGCCAGGGCTGGGGAGATGCTGCTCTTGACAAGCACTGGTGTTCTGCTGCTTGCCACATGTTCAGGCTCATCTAGTTTTACCGAAGGCAAAAGGAGAGCAGGAAGAGGGACAAGGCGATCCCCCTCTCCCAGAGTAGTAATTGAGCAAGGAGGATGCATCCAGGGAAGCAGAGAAAAGTTCATACTTAGAAGGGAGGATGGAAACCATAAAGGAAGGAGTCAGCTTTGATGAGTGGATCAGAGTGGTCCCTGCAGCAGGGTAATTGGTCTGGGATGCCTCAAGACTCACATCTGCTGGTCGTGGCCACTCAGGCTTGCAATCCCAGTACTTGACTGAAACAGGAGGATCTCAAGTCTGAGGCCAGCCTGGGGTACATAACAGACACTTCTCAAAAACAAAACAGACAATAATTGATGACACGATGGCAGTATGAGCAGCAGCGAGCATTTAAGCGAGCCATGCTCTGGACTTTAAGTGTAGTCTTGCCCTTGCTCCCTAAATACCCCCATTTTCAAAGATGAGAGTGGCTTACATCAAGACTCAAGGCCACACCACTAGTATCCAGTGGAATCAGGACCAGAACACAGATCTTCAGGGTAGTACCTGCCAGTCTGTCCACAGCTTCCCATGCCTGCAATAGAAGGGCTATGTAGAGACACTCCTGAGTGCCTGGCCACTCAGTTGTCAGGAAAGGAGACCCTGCTCACACTCTAAAGGCTATGACCTTGAATTAGAAACTCTCCCCTCCATGGCATCTGCTCTGGTAGTGAGGTTATTGGGGCTCCATGCCCAGCCCTGAGGCCTGTCCCTGTAACTCTGGCAGAAATGAACTTCTCAGTTCTGGCAACTGGACTATTCAAAGGAATCAAAGCCTTAGGTAGGGCTGTGTGTGAGAGAGGACTCTTCCTCACTTGCCTTCTTCCAGGAACAGAGGAAGGGAGGCATGCAGACAAACAAGAGGTCCAGGAAGGAAGGTTTGCCACACACATACTACAGGCATGTGGCAGAGCTGGCCTGGCACCAGCGCTGACTGCTCTGTATCTACCCTGGACACCTTCTGCTGGCTGATGTACAGTTCACACCACTCTCTCATGCTCAGGGCCTTCCTATGGTCAGGAGTTCATTTAAACTCCTCTTCCTCTGAGTCCCCAATTCAGAATGGGCTTCCCAGAGTTGTCACACGAGGAATGTTCCCTGTCTAATGGGTACTTAGAAAATGCTTTTGCTAAAAAGCACAGACTCCTGATTTGGGCCCACAAGGTAGGTAAAGGCAGGAGAAAAACCTGGCATTCCTGCCCTCATTTCCTGTCTCCTTTGTCTTACAACTTTGAGTCAGACTCCTGCTTAGCTGTGTACATGCACAAGTTACTATCAGCTAGCAGCACCTAACCCATCTCATCCCTTTAAAGGCAGAAGGCATACAGATCAGAATGACTGAGGCCTCTTCCTATCTGCTTTCACAGACCCCTAAGAGGTACCTGAAAAGTCTCTGGTCATTTCTGTAAGCTGCAGTCGCCTTGGCTTCCAGGAACAGAAGAGCTTTCAGACACACCCCCTCATGATGAGGCCACCCCCAAACAAGGACAGTCATTGCATAGGAACTGCACTGTCGCCTCCAGCACTAGGGACTTCTTCCACCACCTTGCTGAACTAGAACTGAGATAGAGATCAACCAGTCCACAGTTTAACCAAGACTGCTGAATTATGCAGACCTCTCACCTCCTTCTCTGGGTGTTCCTCCATTTAAATCTAAAGTGCATGGCAGTACCCCCACGGTGAGCTAAAACACTTATTTTTCTGTCTTCCCCAAACTGTCATTTTGAGCCGGGTGCCAGTGGCTCACGCCTGTAATCCTAGCTACTTAGGAGGCTGAGATCTGAGGGTTGCAGTTCGATGCCAACCTGGGCAACCACCAGAAAACTGGAAGTGGAGCTGTGGCTTAAAGTAGAGCACTAGCCTTGAACAAAGGAGCAAAAGGACAGTGCCCAGGCCCTGAGTTCAAGCCCCATGACTGGAAACAAGCAAACGAAAAACTGTCATTTTGATTAAGCAATTTTCATTCATTTCATTTCTTTTGTTTATTTTCTTTGTAGTGACATGCTGGGACCCCTGGAGGCTCTGGCATAGAACTCCAGTCACATCTGGAGGGGAGCTACTTGAGTGGGTATCCTGTTCCATGCTGTCTCTCTCCATAGCAAGGTGGGCACCACACAGGTGCTTCATTTGTTTTGTCTACTTATTTACTTTGAGTCAGGATCTTACTCAGGCCAACCATCATCTCTCCCTCCATCCTTCCACCTTATAGTCTCCAGTGCTGAGTGCTTTGATGACCGCTGAATTAAGCCAGGTGTTGTGGTACAGGTCTATAATCCCTGCACACAGGAAATGCAGACAGAAGGATCTTTTTCTCATCCCTCCCTCCTTGATGAATTGAACTTAGGGCATGAAAGGACCCATGAAAGGATCTGCTACACCCGTGCCAGGGGACTATGCAGAGGCAGGCACAGGAGAAAGATTATTACAAGGTTTATTAGAGGCGCCATATGTCCCTGGGAGAGAGAGCACATGGAGGCCTCCGCTATTTAGGTAGCAGCAGGGTCTGGGGATAGGAAGTGAGGTAGATGGGAAATCAGGTGGGTCTGGGAAGAGAGAGAGAGAGAGAGAGGGGCCAGCATGTCTGGGTGGAGCTGAGGATTAAAGGTGGGCACAATGTTTACAGGGCATCTTGTCTGCTAGGCAAGCACTCTACCACTTGAGCCCCACCCCCAGACCTGGATGGCATGTTTGAGGATAGCCTGAACTATACAAAGGAAAGTAGAGAAGAGAGGGGAGAGGGGAGAAGAGGGAGGGGAGGAGAGGGGAAAGGGGGAGAGGATGTAAAAGTGATGAATTAATGAATCGGCTTTTGTGCAACTTCCTATAAAAGGAACGCCTATAAGGTTGGAAGGAAAATACCCCAACACCTAGTTCATGGATTTTGTTTTAAAAGCTTCGTGTGGCCAGGTCCAAAAGTCAAAGCAAGGTGAGCCTTAATGTTATTTAAAGTGTCAAACAATTGCACAGTAAACTCTTTAAGAAAGGGAGCAGTCTGTGCCCGCCACAGACTTGCTGTCAGCGCCTGGAGGAACCATCTGAAGGTCCAGCATTTCCAGATGGCGAGGGAGAGGGGGAAAGACCTGAGCCCAGGGCGCGGAGAAGCGTGGAATACCTGAGCAGGGGCGGGGGAGGGAGGAGGGGAGGG